CTGTGTAACCGACCGGTGAGTCTAACAGTTTAATAGCAGATTATTTCATTTCTGCTTCTTTGTTTTGTGACGAGTTCTGGATAAAAATAATAATAAGATCAAAGCAGTCGGCTAAACTGTAATAAGAAACCGCTGGCAGTGATGACATCGAGATAGTGACTTGTTTATTTGAGCCTGTCCTCTGGATTTGTTCAGCCAAAGTCCAACTTTATATTGACAGACTTCATTGAATTTGGTGGTCGGTGCTGAAAGCCTCTGTGTCTGAAACATTTGTAAGGAAAATTGACACTAAAATGCAAAACCGAAACTTATTGCAGGCCTCGTGGTGTGATGTTGCAATCAGATGTTAATATTTATGCAAATCTAGAATTGAATGTAAGCATGATGTTGATGTTTACTTTTTCAACACAGGAGAGTCCAGTGTTAGGAGCCATTGGTCAAGAAGAGCTGGCCAAGCGTCTAGCAGAGCTGGAACTGAGCCGCGAACTGCTCGATGACCTCGGTGATGATCAGGACTGGTTTGATGAAGACTTTGGCCTTAGCTCCCGCAGGAAACAGCAGAAACTCAAAGAGGAAGAGGCGCGACTGGGAGCGGGATTTGGGAGATCTAGCTCATCAGCTGGCCCAGCTGTGGGGGAAATGGGTTCGTCATCAGGTGGAGAACCCCAGGTAAAGACGCCACCTAGACCGGAGCTGCCTCTCCCCTTGCCTCCTAAACTACCTGAGCAGCCTGCCATGGTGGTACCCCACTCAGCTGTAGAGGTGGAGAAGATGGTCCATGCTGCCACACGGGAGCTCTGGGACAGCTTTGACCTCGGGAACAAGGGAACACTCACTCATGGGCAGCTGCCAAGTCCACAACCTTCACTAGAATACCTTGGTAAAGAGGACAGCACCCAGAACCAGGAGTCACTGTCCATTCGCAGCTACAGAAAGGTATAAATACGAAGTGTGGACCCATGAAAATGTCAGTCATGTGTGAGTTTTTAAAGCTCCAAAGCTGGCTTTGGGCTAAACCACCTAAATTGAGCTTATTCTACTTGAGAAGCTTTATTTATGTAGATTTCATACAGTACTTCATATTTTCTCCTGTGCTCTTTTCTCAGGCTGTGTATGACTTAACGTGGGAGATCCTTCAGGAGATCTATGCTGAAGACCCCAATACTAATCAGCCTCAGTGGGTCAAACCGCGTCGAGTCAAGTCCTCTTCATTTCACAAAGTCAGGACACCGGGAGACGTCAAGAAGATCCAGGTAAAGAACGATGGCAGCAACACTGAGAGAAACTGTTCCCGTGTTGAACAGTGACAATAATGATGCTGTAGTGATGTTGACTGTTGATATTTTTGACTATAAAATAATTACATTTTTGTGAAATTGTTTCATAGTTGACTTATGTTCTATAATCATTTTCATTTGACCACCAAATCAAAAATTCTTAATAAGGATTTTACAGTCACTCAAATCCAGCATCGTGCCAAACATGTTATTTTGCCCCCTTATGCTGTTTCTCAGGAGTTCATCACAGAAGAAGTACTGAAGCTTTACGGTCTGACAAAAGACCAGAACCAGAAGAACGACTGGCAGAAGATGCTCAAGTTCGGAAGAAAGAAGCGGGACAGAGTCGATCACATACTGGTAGGCCCCCGAATCCCATTTGCATTTCTCTGTGGCCCAAACAGAGCATCTTGTAAATGTTGCCTTTATCATTTTTAGAAGTAAACACAAATTGCAAATTTTGAACCACGAGAAATGATTTTATTTCCACTAAATAACAGCAACAGCTTTAAAGCAGTAATAGGATTACTTAGAGTTAAGAAAACATGCATTGCAGAGTCTTTGATGATTTATTAAAATTACAGGAA